ATATTTTAGAATTTTACTTTTGGTAAGATTAAAAAAAAACAGTGATTAATCCATTTCCTCTGCAGGTATGTGCATATTTCTCTCACATTTCATGACTGACCCTGAAAATTAACTTAAACTGTTAATTCTGCTTTATTCTTTTAACAATATTTGGTCAAAGTGAAAAACATCCAAATCTGGTGTTTATGCTCAATTTATGAAAGAGATAAATGAAGTTAAAAGATAGGAGCTGCAAAACAAACTATTTTAGGCGAAAACGTAAGAGCCAAAGACAGTGGCTACATCAGCGGCTCTGAGGTGAGGTCAGGGTTACTCTGAAACTGAAGCCAGAATATTTTTTGACATTTTGTGCAAAATTAGCTGATTGAGACTCACAGAACAACTAAAAGCAGCTGTAAATTGCGCGTTTTCACTGACAATTACAAAAACAGAATTTTCTATACGTCGACACACTATATGAGCTACATTAAATTATACAGCAGCTGTTAGTTAAAGTTCATAAATCAGTTTGCCAAAGTGAACCCCATGGTGAGAAGTAGACCTTAACATGATGCACAACGAGCAGCAAATCTATGCAAAGGAAATGAGCGGGCCATGTTACGGTCTAATTATTCGTGTTTTAGTATAAGTGTGACCCTACAGGACTTCACTGCCTGTCGGAGTGTGTGATTACTTTATGAAGAAGCTGTGTAGTTTAATGTAATACAGCTGAAGAAAGTTGATGAAATGGATGGACTCACCTTAAAAGGTTGCAACACTTATCAAGACAAGCTGAAGTAGGATGCTAAAAATTGGGTCACATTTGAACAAACATTGACTGACCAAGTAAATAAAAAACAATGGGAATAGCATAAATACAGCGTAGATGTACCTAGTGTTTTATGTCAAGTCTGGAAGTAAAATTGCATCATTTCAGGAAGTAGACTCCTCTTAAAGTTGAGTTTATACCCCTAAAATAGTATTTTCACACAACCTCCTGCAGACGAATGTACTGTCACGCTGAAATGAAGCAACCTCCTCAACACAAATTAGATCATCCCCGCTAATAAAAGGTTTGCGCCATTCCAATGATCCCTCCAAATTCACACGCTGAGGAAATAATGGGCAGGTAGCTCAGAGTTGGGACCCAGAGAGATGGAAACTAAATGAGAGGTGATGGAGGAAAAACCCAAAGGGAATCGACTGAGATGAGAAAAAGGGAGGAAGATGTGAGGAAGACCATCAGAAGAAACTAATCATACTGTTCTGGTAAACAAACTACCCCCACATAGGCCTGTCATGATAAATTTTGCTGGGCGATTAATTGTTTCAGGAATTATTGCGATAAACGATAATATTGTTTGAAATTTAACAATAATTACTAATTATTGTCAAATTTAAGAAGAAATGTTGGTTAATTTGTTTTGAGTGTAGTACCTTTGTTTGACCACAGGATGGCAGTATAAGACTGTTTGAACCGAAGGATGGATAGTGAGGGAGCGAGCAGCAAGTCTCTAAGAAAAATGGGAGGGAGGTCCCTTGACGTGACATGGGCTGTCTCTCCTTCCTTTGCTCGGTGTGGTTTGAGCTCTTTAGCATAGCAATTTTCACACAAAACTTGTAATAAAAAAAATCAGGAAACAAGTTCTCAGCTTCTTTTCACAGAGAAAAACTTTCTACACAAAGGCACGGGTTTCAACTCTGAATTCTGGAGCTTCGACGAGACGGAGGTTTTTTTTCCTGTGGTCGGCCTGTTAGCTAAGCTCGTAGCTTAGCTTCTCAGCTATTTGATTTTGGATCGTTAGAACGGATTTTAAAGAGAAAAAAGAAAGGGAGGGGCCAGTGAAGAGCAGCACTGAAGTCGCACCTTGTCATCCAGTGTCTTCAGTAGAAAGAGAGACACGAAGAAATGATAAAGCTGATAAATGAAAATGAGGTTGATAATTTTCATTTATCATGCGATTAATTGACTATTATCGTGAGAGGCCTATCCCTACATTACTTCACGTTACCAGCTCTGTAAAGAATCAGTTGGTGTAGAATCTGTCATCAAGGACATGGTAATTCCAAAAAGGGATTAAAAACAAAACAGCTGGCCTTCTGTTAGAAGTCCAGTTGTGTTGCTTTTTAACCTTTATTTAGATTGGATTTAAACGTCTAGCCAATCACAGGCTAAATTATTTAGGTAAACCAGCGCTGAAGCATGAATGTAATTGAATGAGATTATTACTTAATTACAAATTTTGCAAATGGACAAATTTAGGAAAACTCTCAGAATGTAATCAATGGATGCAATTACTCAACTAACTGACTTTTGGAGTCAATTCAAGATGGCAGCCAGCGTTAATCAGACTTAACCACCACAAACATGGCTGTAACTTACAGATTTGATGTGGTCGAAGCTGAGAGTTATCTTCAACCCACATGACGAGCTGTAATACATGTCATAAAATCTCACAATACTGAATGGGATTGTGCATAATGTAGTTTCCAAGGTTCGATCAAAACAGCTATTTATGATCTTAAGAAAAAAAAAAAAAAAACAGGCATAAAAAGAGTTCATGCATTCCTTTAAGAAATACTAAGCCTGAATTTTTTTTTTTCCAATTCGTAATTATTTAGAATCAAAGAAATGTGGATGCATTCAAAGACAAACTAAATACTAGGTGCGATGTTTTATATGAAAATAAAGAAAGCCAGTGCTCTGTCGCAGAGTCGTCAGAGGTGGTCCAACTATCTGATGAGAGATGGAGGATGTTGCTGGCGAGAGATTTCTGGGTTCCTTTTCTGGACCTGTTGCCTCCATGACGGGAACACAGATATATGCCAGAAAAAGGAAGGATGGCTGGACGGATAACCGATTATAAATGTAAAAAGCAGCCAGGCTTCAGAGTTCAGCTAACAAAAGAGCTGTACTCCAAAAAGATGGCTACATGTGAATGTTTTCCTTATTTTGTTTCTTTAATGATAATCTTTTAATGTTAAATACAAAAATATATATATATATATATATCACAAAATGCTGTAATATCATGCAGCTCAGTAATAGAAAGTATATTCTTTGTGTGAAGCACACTCTCTGTCTGTGATCCACCCTGTGAGTTTATCCTTGCAGTTCATAAAGATGAAAACACCTAAGACTCAAACCGATTGTCTGAGTGACGCAATAAACACACTCGCACACACATTTTCAGAGTAAATACAAGGACATACTTTCTTCAGGAAGCCTCAGAGGTAAATATCACAAGCAACCTTCTTGTTAAAGATAAACTATTCCAAACCCCAGTTGGTCTATAAGCGATAAGACAAAACCTTGTAAGTTAAAGATAGAAGCAGGCAGGAGTACACGCTGCTTCCTTTCTGATAAGTTGTTTTTAGCCTTAGCACATCACAATGTTGTGTGAAAAAGGTGACTCTTGTCCATCACATAATACACATGGCAGCTGTCTTGTCATGCCACGGTGAGGTTGGCTTAGTGTGTCTGTGTGCATCTCTGCAGCTGAGAGATATGTCTGTGTGCAAGTGTCCAGGTCTGGGTAAGTGTGTTTTATGTCGCTGAATGTCGCAGCACACTCTTATCTCCATGTGCCCTGTGCTGTGGCGCCAAGCAGATAACATCACAACATGGCTACTTTCAGAGCTCTGCCAAACATCCCTCTTCCTGCTTTCAAAATAATCCTATCTGAGCCTCCATGCAATATCACCGCTGCCCTACACTTTTCTCAAGAAAAAAACAATTTGATACACCACCTCTCAAAGCAAAAGTAAAAAAAAGATCTAAATGTCTTCACAGAAGGGTTGATTAAAATTAAAAGAAATTACAAGACACTGATGACTTCTTATTTAGAGGCGTCAAACGTTTGAACTTCTGGTTTCTCAGGTAAATTACATTTTACAACAGTGCGTTCTTGTATAAGGAGCATCTGTGTTATTTATGCCTGGACATCCAACCGCTCCTTCGCTCCTAACATTTACTGTTAAATTGGAACTGCGGAAAAGCAGTAATAGGTGGTGTTTGTTTAAAACAACAATTCCAGACACGCTTGAATGAATCACTGCTTAAAACACGGCCATTTTAAACAAGAAACTTCCAAGAGGCTGTGAAATGTCAATAGGTAGTAAAATGAACCAACTTAAAGCTGCTCTGTCACTACTGAAACAGAAAAATAAACTCATTTTTAGGTGTTAGCATTACCTGTCTAAATAAAGGTTGAATGAATTTAGACTGAGGATTAAAACAGAAATATCTTATTTGGAATATTTGGAATATCTTATTGTAGAAGAACTTGCTGAAAAAACAGCTGAAATTAGCTAAAAACATGCTGAATTTTAGCTGTAAAATAAGAACAAGTCTAAATTAGCAGAAGAAAGCAGAAAAAAACACATATTTGCTGAATTAGGTTTAAATATGCAGAAATGAGCACAGAAATTAGTAAATTAGCTAAAAAAAAAAAGCTGAAATTAGCAA